AGCTCGCGGCGGATCTGCTTGTTAACCAGGGTTCAAGGAATATCTGCGCTGATACAGTGTTACTCGTCAGTTGCTCAGTCACATTTTATGAATTTTTACAAGGCATGATGTGACAATGCGATACGTGCGATATATTCGTGATGAGACTCGTTTATAAATCTGCTGTTGTCAACAAAAGAAGCATTGAGGTCTTCCTGCACGTTTCTGCCAAAATAAAAGTTGAGAAAAAGCAAGAACTCCATCAACATTCATAAATGTTAGTATTGTAATTTTACTGTTGTTCTGTAAAATAAAATAAAAAAGACAATAATAATGATAATAATAATTACAACAGCTCTGTTAATACATTTATTATAACATTCACACATAGTGTTCAAATTGGGATCTGTAATATTTTCTAATGTTTTGAAAGAAGTCTCTTCTGCTCAGCAAGGCTGCTTTTATTTGTACAGTAAAAAATACATGCCTGATTCAAGAAGTGGGTCTGATGGCCAAAAATATTATTTTACTAACTTTTTAATTTTAAGCTAAATTGTGCTTTGTTGGTATAATGTCTGCTAGAATGTTAAAAAATGTTCAGTGTTAAATATTTTTAAATTGTTATTTTTTTAATTGATGTTTTCTTTGAAAAGCAAGACAAAACAGTAAAAAGCACATTTTGGCTATTTAATTTATGTAATGGTGAAAAAAATTGGCAAAATACATGGGGGGAAAAAAAACGAAAAACCGTGTTCTGTATTCGGCCTTCGGCCCAGTGTTTCATTTTATTCGGCTTCGGCCAAGAATTTTAATTTCGGTGCATCCCTAATTTTAAAATTGTAAGAATTTTATTAATTGAAAAAATATTTACATATTTGTAATAATTTGAATTAATTGTCTTATTGATGACAAAATAAAAAAAGCCTTTGTGAACAAACTTTTTAATGAATGAATGAATGAATGAGGTATTTATATAGTTCCTTTCTACGTACTACTGCGCTTTACAATCATTTCGGCGGGTCTCTCCTCACCCACCACCAGTGTGCAGTATCCTCTTGGATGATGTGATAATGAGTAATAATGGATGAGTTTAACACTTGTGTTCATATACACATGTATTCATGAATCTTTTACCATATATTTCATATCATGTATTGGTACTTTTTTTTGTTTTGTACTTGTATAGTGTCGTGTCATGTTGTGTACATATGAATAGTAAATGGCATTTATTTATTTTAGGTTCAGCTCCTGGTGACCAGTCAGGATGTGGAAAATTATAAACAGATCAAGTCAGATTTGGATCAGCTAAGGTCTATAGTAGAGAAATCAGAGCTGTGGGTGTATAAGAGACAGGGGTCAGATTCAGGGCTGGACACTGGAGAGGTCACCACTGAAGCGCACCATAAGGTCAGGATGTGCTCCTGTTGTTATTTGTCCATAATTAACTAAAATAAACCTTTGAAACGCTAAGAAGCACTATAATTGCTCTTTTCAGAAATCTAGTGAATTATATTATGATTGGATATTGTATATTATGTTATTATTAAATATTTTTCTGCTCTAACAGGGTGTTGTCAACTCAAGTAGATCAGACAAATCCAAAGTGGAGAGTACCAGCAGCTCAAACTACAGAGTCGTGAAGGAGGTGGAATGTGTTTATGTTTTATGGAATTTGTAGGTTTTGACAAGCAAGTAGAATGTTCTGTGAAGTATATCTTATGTTTGTTGTTATATTTGTGTGTGTAGATCCTTCTGAGGCTGAGCAAACTGTGTGTTTTGGAGGGCATCTCTGGCAAGAAGAATAAGAAACAGCAGCAGCGGCTCCTCAGGAACATGATAGCTCACAGTGTAGTCCTGGAACTGTTGCAGATCCCTTATGAGAAGGTGTGTGTGAGTCTTTGTGTAACTGAAAAGGGTAATTAATCACTGTTTTATGTGTTTTTGTTGACATTTTAGGGGGAGGATGTTCAGATGCAAGAGATTATGACTTTAGCTCATCAGTTCCTTCAGAATTTTTGTGCTGGAAATCAACAGAACCAGGCACTTCTACACAAACACATTAACCTGTTCCTCAATCCTGGGGTGAGAGCATGAATACATAAACACACACATTTGTATCTGTGCATTTCAGCTGTTGAATCCTCTGTCCCTGGCTTACTGTTTTTAGATTCTAGAGGCGGTGACCATGCAGCATATCTTCATGAATAATTTCCAGTTGTGTAGTGAGATTAACGAGAGGGTAGTGCAGCACTTTGTGCACTGCATCGAGACGCACGGACGCAGTGTCCACTACCTCAAGTTCCTCCAGACCATCGTCAAGGCTGAGAACAAGTTCATCAAGAAATGCCAAGACATTGTCATGGCTGAGGTCTGTGGGAAAGATTAACAATTTTTGAGATTAGTGTTTTTAAATACTAGTCCCACATTGCTACTTTTCTGACCTATTCTCCTCAGACTAGTGAAGACTGTTCTTATTGAAATGATTTGTGTGTACTTAGTTGGTGACAGCAGGTGAGGATGTGCTGGTGTTCTATAATGACCGGGCATCTTTTCAGTCATTGGTTCAAATGATGCGTCTTGAGAGGGAACGACTTGATGACAGCAGTGCACTCAGGTATAGAGGTTTATTGTCCTTGTTTCCACTCTATTAATACTTCAAAATTTAAAAAACGCTATTTTAAAAATGCAAATACTATAAAAAAATACAAATAGAATATAATATACTGTAATATAATATATATATATTACATTGTATCTAGGAAAATTGTATCTACCTGTCTATCTATCTCTCTCTCTGTGTTACACTGGGGTGGAATTTGTCATTTATTTTTACATAAAATCATACGTTTTACAAAATCATACAAAGTTTGTAAGTGTATGTTCTTTGAGCTTAAATGTTCAATGTTTGCCATTATAAGTATTAGATTTGGTTTCACTGACTCTTGCAGGTATCATATTCACTTAGTGGAGTTGCTGGCTGTGTGCACTGAAGGGAAGAACGTCTACACTGAGATCAAATGCAACTCCCTGCTCCCCCTCGATGATATTGTACGTGTGGTCACTCATGAGGACTGCATCCCTGAGGTGTGTGCACCAAGGGAATAAATCCCAAAGTGTTTGTCTGTGTTTGTCAATGTGTTGAATACTATTAGATTTAGGTTGTTGAAAAGCCATCTGTATGCAACCTTTTAGTATGTGATTGTGAATGTAGTACTTCATATGTAGGTGAAGATGGCCTATGTGAACTTCCTGAATCACTGCTATGTGGATACTGAGGTTGAGATGAAGGAGATCTACACCAGCAATCACATGTGGAAACTTTTTGATGACTTCCTGGTGGACATCTGCAGAGTAAGACTAAACAAACACTCACAGATATACTCACATTATGGTATTGATGTTTAGACATTCAACATGGCTTCCTGTAGGTGTGCAATAACACGAGTGACCGTAAGCACGCTGACACAGTTCTGGAGCGCTACGTTACTGAGACCATCATGAGCATCGTCACCACCTTCTTCAGCTCACCGTTCTCAGACCAGAGCACAAGTTTGCAGGTAACACATGGTGTCTTCCAGCAGCCCAGTACACTTCAGCATCATTTAGACCATCTGAAGATGTGACATCTCTCTATGTGTGTCTCAGACCCGGCAGCCAGTGTTTGTGCAGCTGCTGCAGGGAGTTTTCCGTGTGTATCACTGCAACTGGCTGCTCCCAAGTCAGAAGGGCAATGTGGAAGCCTGCATCAAAGTGCTGAGTGACGTGGGTAAGAGCATCATTTCCACCAGCTGTTTTTAACTTTCATAATGCTAGCTTCAGTTGTATAATTGTATTGTATAATAACATTATAATCTTAAAATTGGTGATAGAAAGGTTCCTAGAAAAGTGGTTCTCAACCTTTTTTACTCAAAGTTCCCTGCACCACCAGTGGCACCAAACGGAATAGCAAAAAATGATAAATGTTTTCATATAGATTTCAATATAAACTATGTATATGTTGAGCCTCCTTGCTTGTTTTTCATGCGTAAATGCATAACCCTGAGTGTATGTGTCTTTGTCTGTTTATTATTGTGCAGCTAAAGGCAGGGCCATAGCCATTCCTGTGGATCTGGACTGTCAGGTGAATAATCTGTTCATGAAGTCCAACAACATAGTGCAGAAAACAGCCCTCAGCTGGAGACAGTCCGTCCGGAACGCTACACGAAGAGATTCTGTTCTGACCACCTGCCGAGACTACCGCAACATTATTGAAAGACTCCAGGTGAGTGAGTGATTTTGCCTCTGTTTTCAAAACCTAACGAGCCGCCTAAAGAAACAGCATCATTTCAGCCAAATTCTAAGGCAGTATTGCACGTATCCTTTCATGGAGAATGCAGTCCCAGAATGCATTGGAGTTAGGTAATTGATTTTTAATAAACAAATTTTATTCAGTACTAAAATGTTTCAAATATCCATTAAAATTCTTGAAATATCTGAAATAAATTTGTTTTTATGCTTATTAGAATATTGTGCAGTTATATTAAAAAGATGTTACCTCTATTAAAATCAGTTGTGAGTCGGGTCTCCCATGCGTAAGTGCTATTTCTGTGGCGTATGGAGGTATTGCCTATGTAGAGCATTCCAAATTATTTACTTGTGAGGTTCAATTACGGTTAGAATGATACCCTAGAACGATGCTGCCTAGGTAGGCAGCGAGGCAGCTCACTAGAAGAGAGCCAATGATGTCATGTCAATATTCACCAATGTCTTTTCTATAGTTCCTATCATTAAACCTGCATTCAATTGTTTTGCCTCAGTGTCTTACTTTGTTAGGGTGTGTGGTGAATGTATGATTTTGCATGTGTTTATGTGTGTCTGTAGGATATAGTGTCTGCATTGGAGGAGCGGTTGAGGCCTCTGGTTCAGGCTGAGCTGTCTGTATTGGTGGATGTTCTCCATCGTCCAGAACTGCTGTTCCCAGAGCACACTGAAGCCCACCGCAAGTGTGAGAGTGGAGGCTTCATCTGCAAGTATGGTGAACTAGTTGTCTCAAAAATGTTTTTATTATTAAGGGAAAACAAAATCCAAAACTACATGGCCCTGTGTGAAAAAGTGTTTGCCCCCTAAACCTAATAACTGGTTGGGCCACCCTTAGCAGCAACAACTGCAATCAAGCGTTTGCGATAACTTGCAATGAGTCTGTTACAGCGCTGTGGAGGAATTTTGGTCCACTTATTAATGTTTAATATTATATTACACTAGTACACTTTTATCTGCTTTTTGTACAGATTGATAAAACATACCAAGCAACTTCTAGAGGAAAATGAGGAGAGGCTTTGTATCAAAGTTCTGCAGACACTCAGAGAGATGATGACTAAAGACAGAGGATATGGAGAGAAGGTATTTACCACAAAAAACATTAATAAAAGGAATAACAGAAGTGTTTTTATCTCTGATTACAAAAAATATATATACAGATGTGATAGCAAAACATCTTAGGTGTTGTGAGAGGTTGATTGTATTGTCCTCTACACGTACTGTCTTTATTTGTAGTGTCTGCATGTGTGATCTTAATCACATATGCAAGTCCAGTAAGAGCACCTTTGATGAAGTTTGTGTTGATGATCACATTTCCTCTGTTATGTCTTCCTGTTAACACTCAGGTCACTAATAGTTACTGGCTTAATTTGAAGTATGTCCACTCTTTCATTAACCCCGTCCTTCGCTCCTCTTTTTCAGCTACTGGGATTTGATGATGAGATGGATGTCACTGAGGTTGTCCTCTTTTTGTCATTCATCCCATCTTGCCCTTGTTTATTTACCTTCTTTTTCTCTACTTTCTTCTTCTATCCTTGAGAATCGGAATAGGAAATTTGACCTAAGTACACATTTTATTAGATGTGATATAGATGTTGATCTGTTGTGGATTGGTGTTTCCCCTAAAACACATTTTTACCACTAAAAAGTAGCAAGTCATGATTTTGCCAAGCTGTGGTGAGAAAGAAAAAAGTATTTATAAAAAGCGCAAGCCCTTCGATGCATATGCCCTATTTTAAAGTCCTGTTTCAATAAGAAACACACAAGAATTTGTTCTTTAAACCATTTTGTGGTGCTTTAATAGTGCTGCTAATACAGTATGATGTTATAGCAAAATTAAAAAATTTTCTGAAAGATTTAGAAACAATCTTTTGAGTGTAGCTTAATATTTACAAACGATTTGGGTAATAACTGAATATTTGGACAGTTTGGATATTAACTGTTATGTTACAGACCTTTTATTCTGACCATAACATTCCCATCTTCTACTTATTCTGTTCACCTTTCTACACTTTTTTTTTTACATTCTGTTCTGTTCAATCCTAATGTATATAAGGATTTGCTTACATAAATCACTTCCATAGCATAACTAACTAGTTTACTATGAGCCAAACACATAATTTTAGTCATTTTGTCCACTGATATTATTGTAACACCAAGCATGCTGCTAGGATAGAGCTGGAGATTATTGCATGATGATACTCTACTAACTCTGTGTTAGTGTTCTGTTGTCCACTCTGCTCACTCACTCAGGTGGTGGATGTGAGTCTGCCACCCAAACAGCTGGAGGATCGGAGGAGGGTAGGTCACTAACTTCACCTAACCCTGCTTTCCAACCACACATCTGTACCTCTCAGCTGCCCTGGTTCAACTATAACTTTTCCTTTAATATTTATTCCCATTTATGATACATGTTGTTCCAAAGAATACTGCTTTACAGCCATGCGATGCACAAACCAAAGCAACAATGGCAAAGAAAAAAGCTTCCAAAAATCAGATGCACATTGAAACACACACTCTCATACTCATCACAGGGGGAGGCCCTTCGGCAGCTGCTCGTCAATCGTTACTATGGTTTCAGGAGTGGTGGGCGGAGAGAAAGTCTGACCTCCTTCAGTAACTCCACGCTGACACCTGTAGGACCAATCAAGAGCCAGCCTGGTGGGTTCATTTTTCACTGTAGCTTCTGGGAACATTTGTGATATAAATGAACATTTGTTTTTGTGTGTTTGTATGACTTTAGGGGGTTTGAGCAGGGCTGAGATGTCATTGATGGAGGTGCAGTGCCATCTGGACCGTGAAGGGGCATCTGACCTTGTCATTGATCTTATTATGAATGCTACCAGTGACCGTGTCTTCCACGAAAGCATCCTATTGGCTATCGCACTGTTGGAGGGCGGGAACACCATCATACAGGTCAGAAAGGCCTGTCAGTGAAATGATAAAGCGATATAATTATTATGTTGTGGTAATAAGTTATTTAATATTCACTACAGTTTAAAAATTGGGGTTAGTCATTTCTTTTTTTGAAAGAAATTAATGTTTATTCAGCAAGGATGCATTACATTGATCAAAAGTGACAATAAAGACTTTTATGGTGTTAAAGATATTCTATTTCAAATAAATTCTGTTCTTTTGAACTTTTTATTCATCAAAGAATCCTGAAAAAAAATTCAGATTCTGAGCTGTCCACAAGCAAACCTCACTTAGGTTTGAAACCCCCGAAGCCTAATGCAATTACCAGAATTTTAATATGCAACAGATATGAAAAATGAGACTGGACAAGATTAAGCAACGATTAGCTGATAGATGATTTCCGTGGACAAGGCGCTAGTGATCTTGCCTGTATAAGGAGGAGTTGGGGATGGAGGAGGGTAAGCACATGTCTATGCGTCAGACTAAAGCAAGTGTGGGTGCAGATGAACTTATATATCTTATTTAATTGTAGTTGGAGGAGCTACAATCAGCTGTGAGTCAGCTGATGCTGGCTGTCACACCGTGGTCTGCCTGAACTACGCTTGAGCTCCATTCGTCACTCAAACTACATTAGTTCTCCATAAAACATAACATATAAACATAATGATAGATTTTTGTTTGTATTCTTATCTCGTTGCAGCATTCCTTCTTCAAACGTTTAACGGAAGACAAAAATTCAGAAAAGTTTTTCAGGGTGTTTTATGATAGAATGAAAGCAGCTCAGTTGGAGATCAAAGCCACTGTTACCGTCAACACCAGTGACCTAGGCAACAAGCGGCGTGATGACAACACACCAGACAAAGATACGCCACAACGCGGGAGAGGTTCGGGTTGTCAATACTTTATCATTCATCATATGCTATCTTTCTTTGCAATAAATACCACTTGGTTTGATACAATGATATTCATGGTTTAATGTCAAAATACTTGTTGAGATCACTGCATAATGTTATAAAGTTTGATATATCATTTTATGAGAAGATATGTCACTATGAGATTATAAAAAAAAAAAAAACATGTATTTCTTACTCTCCAGAAAAAAATTCTGGTGTTGTGGTGACTGATGATACCCGTGAGCAGTTGTTGGAGGCATCTGTTGTGACTAAGAAGGCCTACGGTTCGTATCGACGAGATGCTGATCCTGAGGAGACTTATGGCACTGCTGATGGAGACAAAGGGGGTGGAGATAAAGGAACAGAGCAGGGCGAGATGAGCCCTGTCATTCTCATCATGCAACCAATCCTGCGCTTCCTACAGCTGCTGTGTGAGAACCATAATCGAGACCTGCAGGTGTGTCTGTGTGTGTGTGATTGTCTGCCTCTCCATCTGTTACATTTATAGCTTTTGTTTGTTATTCTGGCCTGATTAGAGGTTCACTATCAGACCTGAGCCGGAAGGAAGTCGACTTTAGGTTCGATTTCAGGTTGGGTCTCAAACTTTGACAGTATCAGTATTGTGTCGTGTCATGGGGTCTTGTTTATGAGCTGATATATTGGTTTGGTCTGGTTTTATATATCATATATGTTTAGAACTTTCTTTTTTCCCTGCAGAATTTTCTGCGCTGTCAGAACAACAAGAATAACTATAACCTGGTGTGTGAGACCCTGCAGTTCCTGGACTGTATTTGTGGCAGCACAACAGGAGGCCTGGGGCTGTTAGGACTATATATCAACCAGCATAATGTGGCTCTCATTAATCAGACTGTAGAGAGTCTCACTGAATACTGTCAAGGGCCCTGCCATGATAACCAGGCAAGTACACAAACATTAACACAATCATGGTTTTCCTTTATTTTTCCTGTTTTTTTTTCCCACTAATAATCTTTCCATTACTCATAAATATTTTTCCCACATTGAATGTGTTATGTTATGCATTTTTTTGCAGAATTGCATTGCCACCCATGAGTCTAATGGCATTGACATCATCATTGCATTAATTCTGAATGATATTAATCCACTGGGCAGAAAGAGAATGGATCTGGTTCTAGAACTAAAGGTACTTCACTTTACTTTTAATTGACAAAGTTAACAACCTTCTCATTTCATGGTAACATCAAATTTGACTGTGCAAAGGCCAGGCCTCAAGTCCTATAAAGCAGTGGTTCTCAACCTTTTTGACTTCTGGTACTTCTACTGTGATGACAAAGTTGGTCATTTTTAAACTTATTTACAAAATCTAGGAGTGATATTATAATAAAATAATTAAATGATAACTAATTAAATTCCATAATTCCAGTTTCAATAATTGGGTGTTATTCTGGGTTTAGATTACTGATGAATTTACATGACTTTTCTAGTCGTTTGTGATTACAGGATTTAAAAAATTACTTTTTACTCACAAATAGCTACTTCTACCCACTAAAAGATTTTTCATCTTGACGTAACTAGAGAAATGTATATTCATTATAAGAATTTCCATGACTTTTTCACAACTAGAAATCACTATCATATTCTCTATAATTAATTAAAATAAGAAACAGGATATCAGCTTACATATTGATTTTTAGCTGTTTTAGCGTTTTTTATCTTATTTTAAATAGTTTGAACACATCATGCAGCTCCTCTTTGAAAACCACTGCTATAAAATCTACAGAACATTTTATGTTAACATGACAATGTTATATTTAAGTTCATTTGAAGTTGGACAGAGTGAAAAATAAGTGAAAATGTAATCAAGATGATCAGTCATTTTTTGTTTGGATGCAAATGATGTGAGAGACAGTGACAATCACATCACAGTCGTATTATTTAATAATGTGGTCAATTAAATTTCATGTTGCATTATTTGTCCTTTTTGCGTAGAATAATGCATCTAAGCTACTGCTGGCCATCATGGAGAGCCGTCATGACAGTGAGAATGCAGAAAGAATCCTGTACAACATGAGACCAAAAGAACTAGTGAGTGTGTTAGTTATCATCTCAGTACATCCTGGTTCACTCATTGCTTTAACTGAATCTTGGAGTCATTCTGTGTTGACAGATAGTAAACCATAAACATGAACCTTCTTTGGCTACAACATCTGCATAACCCCAGCTGTGTGTGTTTATGTAGGTGGAGGTGATGAAAATGGCCTACCAGCAGGGTGAAGCAGAGTTTGAGGATGAGGAACTGGAGAATGGAGAGGACCATGCTGCATCACCTCGCAATGTTGGACACAACATCTATATCCTTGCACATCAGGTACACACACACACTCCTGTACATGCCAGTGTATTGTATAAGGAGAACATTTGTTGTCCATAAATATTTCCAGCTGTGAAACTGTATTTTGTGATAAATGGTAAATTTCACTCTGTGGCAAATGAAGCAACCCACAACAGATGTATATTTAGAATTATGCACATCACAGAGAACGTTAGATTATCATTCTGTGTTACTGGCTGAATGATAAGCATATTTATTAACATTTTATTTAATTACCAAAGCCAATTTTTACTTTTGGCAGTGGGCAAGTGCCAGTTTTGGGCCCTGTATCAGAATAGTTTAATTAGACTGTGGCCAACCACAACACCAAATGTATATCTCTTTATCTAAGAGCAATTCATTAAATCTGATTTAACCTGCTATTTCAGCTGTCACGTCACAATAAGGAGTTGCAAATACTACTGAAACCAGGTGGGGAGGACCAGGCCCTAGAGTATTACACAGAACACACCGCACAGATAGAGGTAACACTTTTAACAAATCTTGAAACACGTTTTTTATTGTTTTTAAAATACCATCTTATGCTCTTGTATGTGTGTGTGTGTGTGTATACACAGATAGTACGCCAGGATCGCACTATGGAACAGATTGTGTTTCCCGTACCAAATATCTGCTCTTTTCTCACAAATGAGTCCAAGCTGCGTGTGTACTATGGTACAGAGAGAGATGAACAGGGCAGTAAAATAAATGACTTCTTCCTGCACGCAGACGACCTCTTCAATGAAATGAGGTGGCAGAAAAAACTAAGAGGTAAATGTGTGTTTTTGTTTGTATGTTCATTCTCTGGTGTTTGATTCTGGTGTTTGAAAATGATTCATTTAAAGGGTTAGTTCACCCAAAAATGAAAATTAGCCCACAAATTACTCACCCTCAAGTCATCCTCAAGTCATCCATGACTTTTTACTTTCAGACGAATCCAGTCGGAGTTATTTTAAAAATTGTCTTTGATCTTTCAAGCTGTTTAAGGCCACTCAGCGTGTGTTGCATGCATCAGTCCAAAAGAAGTTAAATAAAAACGATTCGCTACAGGAGGCCTTTGTTCACCCCCCGGAGCCATGTGAGACAGGGTTTTTTTTTATGGATGGGCGCTTTTTATTTAACTTCTTTTGGACTGATGCATGCAACACCCGCTGAGTGGCATTAAACAGCTTGAAAGATCAAAGACAATTTTTTATATAACTTCGACTGGATTCGTCTGAAAGAAGAAAATCATATACACCTAGGATGACTTGAGGGTGAGTAATTTATGGGCTCATTTTTATTTTTGGGTGAACTAACCCTTTAAAATTAAATTGTACAACTTACTTTATCATCATTTCTGAAATGTATCTCTCTTTTTTTGTTTTCAGCACAGCCAGTGTTGTACTGGTGTAGCCGGAACATGTCGTTCTGGAGTAATGTGTCTTTTAACCTGGCTGTTCTCATTAATCTGTTGGTGGCGTTCTTTTACCCTCTGGACGGAGTGAGTGAAAGTGAGTTCCCCTCTGTACTGTTTTCACAAGTCTGCCTTTCCTTCCACAATATCCCTGACCTGTGTGTGAACATATATACCTTACATGTGCTTTGTGTGTGTTTCAGGTTCACTAGACCCTTCTCTTTCTCTGTTGCTGTGGGTGTGTTTGTTGGGCTCGTTGGGATTTGTGTTGATGTCACCGAGGCCGAACGCAGTGCGAGTGCTGGTCATCTGCTGTGTTCTGCAGCTGGGCTTCTCAGTCGGGCTGCAGCATATGCTGACACTCCTGGGAGCTTTTAATGTAAGATCACACTCACACAAACACACATGGGAGGGTTAGATTTTGAGTGCATACAAGTTCACATGCAGTCATACACTGTACACAGTTTCTTTTAATGTGTCTTTTAACCTGGCTGTTCTCATTAATCTGTTGGTGGCGTTCTTTTACCCTCTGGACGGAGTGAGTGAAAGTGAGTTCCCCTCTGTACTGTTTTCACAAGTCTGCCTTTCCTTCCACAATATCCCTGACCTGTGTGTGAACATATATACCTTACATGTGCTTTGTGTGTGTTTCAGGTTCACTAGACCCTTCTCTTTCTCTGTTGCTGTGGGTGTGTTTGTTGGGCTCGTTGGGATTTGTGTTGATGTCACCGAGGCCGAACGCAGTGCGAGTGCTGGTCATCTGCTGTGTTCTGCAGCTGGGCTTCTCAGTCGGGCTGCAGCATATGCTGACACTCCTGGGAGCTTTTAATGTAAGATCACACTCACACAAACACACATGGGAGGGTTAGATTTTGAGTGCATACAAGTTCACATGCAGTCATACACTGTACACAGTTTCTTTACTAATAATCTTACATGGTGTCAGTCTGTACTGACGATCTGACCTTGTTTGGTGTCTGTGCAGGTTTGTAATAAGATAGTGTTCATGCTGAGCTTTGTGGGTAACCGTGGGACGTTTACCCGTGGTTACTGGGTGATGGTGATGGATAGAGAGTTCCTGTTTCATCTGCTGTACCTTCTCATCTGCACTCTGGGCCTTTTTGGACACTTTTTCTTTTACAGTCTACTGGTCAGTTTGAAAACCTTAAACTAACACATTATACTAACATGCCTAAACAGAAAATTGTGTATGTGTATCCATATATATATATATATATGTGTTAGGGCTGTCAGTTTAACACGTAAATGTAATTAATTAATTATGGAAAAATAATGTGATTAAAATATTTTAATGCAGTTAAAGCCCGCCCCCAGACCTGTATGTCATCTTACATTTTATACATTTGACAAATTTGATATGTGCGATTAATAAGATTAGATGAATTAATCGCTATATTGTGTAATTAATTAGATAAAAAATTTTAATTGATTGACAGCCCTAATATATATATATATATATATATATATATATAAAATGAGCGAAGAGAATGAATGAATAAATTAAATAGAAATAAATATTTTTTTTTATATAAATATAAAATATTTTTTTTGAATTATAATATTGTTTTTCTTAAATTATTTTATTGTGTGTATGTATATATATATATATATATATATATACAAATATTGACCTAATTTCATGATGTATTCAACTATTTAAGATAGAATCAAATAATTGTCAGTGCAAATATTTACACCACTAATGTTAACTAATTGTACATTTGTGTGTTTGAAGTTGTTTGACCTGGTGAACAGGGAAGAGACTCTTTTGAACGTTATCAAGAGTGTGACTCGAAATGGCCGCTCTATTGTCCTGACAGCTGTTCTGGGTCTGATCCTGGTCTACCTCTTCTCCATTGTTGGATATATGTTTTTTAAGGATGACTTCATCCTGGAGGTGAACCGCATCCCCAACGGCACTCTCGGTAACACGCATTCACACAGACATATCAAATCAAATCATAAAGTAATGTTCATACTGGTGGGTGTGAAAATTATTTTTGTTGTATTTGAATATGTGTGTGTCAGAGGAGGGAGTAAATTTGGCTTCTAGTTTCCTGTCTGAAGGGGTCTGCAATGGAAAAAATGGGTCCTGCCTGCCTGCGGATGTTGAGGATGGTGAGCAGTAAAATTCATCCAAACTATTGCATGATGTGCTGATTAATTAGTCAAAATAATCACATATTTTCCCCAAATTAAATTATTGTGAGCATAATTGTCATATGTCTATGACAAGTAAAATATTGAATATATGTTTTTAGTAAAAATAAATAAAAATAATGTGTTTGTAATAGCATACAAGTCAGGGGGCATGATTAAATCTGCTTTTTAAAAAGTAATTATTTTATTATTAACAATATTAATTGATGAATGTACTAAGATATCACAAAAATTATTATTAATTACTATTAAGTATTATTAATTAATACTAATATGACACTTAAGCCCTAATCCAATTACTTCAGTCATGTTATCCAAATATATAAATATTATATGACTTTTTAGGAAATATGTTGTAATCTGACGTTCAGTTGTGCACTGGAAGTGACTGGAAACAGAACTTCTACATTGTGTGTTTTGTGTGTTTATAGATGATGTAGAGCGAGCGTGTGATTCTCTGTGGATGTGTATGATCACTGTACTGAGTCACGGTCTCAGGAGTGGTGGCGGAGTTGGAGATGTTCTGCGCAAGCCGTCCAAAGAGGTACGGACATGCATATATTTACAATAATAGTTAATTTTTTTACATAACAACCTTAAGCAAAACCTGAATGTGTGCTTGCAGGAGCATCTGTTCGCTGCACGGGTTGTGTATGACCTTCTGTTCTTCTTCCTGGTGATCATCATTGTGTTGAATCTGATCTTTGGTGTCATCATTGATACGTTTGCTGATCTGAGAAGTGAGAAGCAGAGGAAAGAGGAGATCCTCAAGACCACATGTTTCATCTGCGGTGAGATGAGATGCACAGTTATACTCAAATAAACATATGTGCCTTCACATGAGATTGGGAATTTATTTTTTGGGTTATTTGCTTGTTCACCCAGGTCTGGAGAGAGATAAGTTTGATAATAAAACAGTGACGTTTGAGGAGCACATCAAGGAAGAGCACAACCTGTGGCATTACCTGTACTTCATTGTGCTGGTGCGAGTCAAGGACTCTACTGAATACACAGGCCCTGAGAGTTACGTCGCTCAGATGATCAAGGTAAGAACATACATGGTGATGACACTCTACTTTGACATTATCATGAAGCTTTTACGGGAAGACATTTAAATGTTTTCATGTGCAATCTGTTACTAATCAAGCTGAAGCTCATATGTGACCCTGGACCACAAAACCAGTCTTAAAGGCACAATATGTAATTGTTCGCCGCTAGAGGGCGCGTATTCAAAATAAACAAATAGACAAAGTAGTTTGATGACGCTGTGACTGAGTGTGGAATCATGGGAGTTGTAGTCTTCATCCCCACAGCCGATGCAATCCGACGGGACTCGGGCAGAAATCATGTTCATGGATGAGCTAATGATTTATTAAAGTAGTAGAATGAAGCAGGGTGAAGCTGAAAGCCGTCAAAGCGAAACGAGGCCGTTGAACGAGCGCGACACCCGGCTCAAAAGCAGCGGAGCTTTTATTATGCCACAGTCGACCGCTTCCGCTCCTTCCGGTCGTGCGTATGTGGGGGAAAAAAGCAGCGCTGTTTTATCATACTAGATACATTTGAAAGTTCTGTTATAATGCTACTCTGTGCGGTCGTCACCTG